ACCCCCCCCCCCCCCAACCAAATCCAAAACAAAACAAAACAGAAGTAGCGGCCATACATGACTTCATGAATGATTTTTCCCCCGTTTTTTCCTTTTAATCTTGAAGGCACATTTTAAACTTTTGATGAAAGACCTCGACACCATGCACTCTTTGAGGCTGAGAGAAGAGAACAAGTGGCTTTTTTTTTGGTATCGTCCCCTTTAATTATTTTAGGCACTTACCTGAGCAAATTTGTGGAGGCGGCAGACAGCATTTCCAGCGCTCCAGTAGATGGAGATCTTTGAGATGAGATCAGCCAAGACAACCAGAGGACCAGTTAATAAATCTGAAACAAGAAATTAAGGTTACTGACAGCCAATTAAGACTTCAGTGGAAAAAGAAGACACAGAGCCTTTCTTCTTCGCAAAACGACCCCACGCATAATGTTAAAAGTGAAAAATGCTATATCGCTGTAAAATACATAGCTTAAAAAAATGAATTTCCATTTTCTCCACTTTCTTAAGATATGACCTATCTCGTTTTCAAATAGTCCCCCCCCCCCCCTTCCGTCCTTGCGCTCGGATCAATTTGGATCAGTAAGGAAATGCGAGGGCTCCATCGATCTCGCCCATGCAACATCGACTAATCCCAACAGGAAGAAGGAGGTACTTGGTAAGATATACTTTCCAAAGTGGAATTGAAACCAAACCTCTTGAGTGAAAAGGCGAAAAGTGAAGCTAACAACACTGAGATGCCTGTGACCCGAGCCAGGATATGTGGGGAGACATGAACCTGGGATCATCAAAGCACGAAGGGAGAAGAATACAGTCAGCGATAGTGTTCATTCATTAACTGGCCACGGAATCCCTCATTACTCTATCCATCAATTAGTTGGCTCACTCTTTGATCTGCTCTTCCATCTAGTCAGCTCATCTGCGTTGAAACCTTTGGAAAAGACCGCTTGCTCTCTCATTTGCGGTTAAATTCGGCTCGATAATTTAAGCTTTCATTCGCGATCTCACTTCTCATTTACTAACCGATCTTATTTTCATCAATACATACACAGTTTCCTAACAAGTATTTAATTATCGAAATCACTCACTCAACCAGCGTCTGTGATGTAGCGGTTAGGCAATGTGAAGGCGCATAACGGAGACCCGATCTCGATTCGCGAGTTGGATTTTTTGAGTACTTTAAGCCCGACAGTTGGGGTCGACAGAACCCATTGTACATTGTATGCTCTAAAATGTCCATTGGGACGTAAAACACCTACATTCGAGAATTTTTAGAAAAAATCACTTACACTTACTCACTCGCTCACTCACTCACCCAGTCACTTATTCGCACTCTCGCTCTATTATACATTTATTTTATCATTTCAAACGAAAGCATTATTCACTAACCCCAATCTCATTTCTCATATTCTAATCATTTAAGGCATACAGACACACAACACACACACACACACACACACACACACACACACACACACACACACACACGCACACACACACACACACACACACAAACGCACGCTGACGAACGCATACGCACAAACACATTTCCGCATTTAGTTCGGTCCTCTTGGGTAAGGACGTTACGTTTGGTGTACTTAAATCTTAAATAACATTACAGCATTGGACGGGGCGTTAAATCTATACAATTTCATTCAGTTTCCGCCAATTCAGACGTACTCAAACCTACACAAACACATTCATACGCACGCACACACACACACACACACACACACTCACGTGCGTGCGCCAGCGTGGTGCTAACACCCATGAGCGTGTACGTGAGCTCACATACTCAAACTTCCAAGAACACACAGAAAAAAGAAACAAGCAAAAAGACAGACAGACAGACAGACAGACAGACAGACAGACAGACAGACAGACAGACAGACAGACAGACAGACAGACAGACAGACAGACAGACAGACG